GAGGCGTGAACTTCCTGCTTAAATGTACTTCCGCGGTGTAACAAGGCCGTTAGGTCTTCTTGGGGTACCTAAATAACAATAAAAAAAAAATCATATGTCGATTCAACTCCATGTTTTTCTTTTGTTATACAACTTTAACGGGGACTTACAAAATTCTATATATTTTTTTATCGTTGTGAACAAAAAAGGGCTTAAACCGAAACTGACATAACATAAATTTCAGCTTTATCTTGTTGAAAATTTAATTTCCATTCTGATATTATAATTTTTATGCAGCTAAAAGTTAAATAAAAAACGCCTATCTTTATCTAATTAACTTAGTGTTAATTTTGGTTTAATTGAAAATGAGTTATAACATTATTTTTCAATACAATTACTCATTAAAAACACTTAATCACTTACTCATTAAAAACCAATTATTATGTTATTTCTCGACATAATCATCACTCACTCAATTTAACATAACCCACTCGCTTTAAAATGTCAACTAAAAAAACAAAATCATACAATAAAGATGATATATTAGCCGCATTAACTGGTATGAAAGAAAATAAAAATCGCTCAGCTGCGTTCAAACATGGCGTTCCAGTCTCAACACTCAAAGATTGCAAAAATAACAATAACAAAAGTTTCCATGACTCAGGTACAACAACAGTTCTTTCAAATGGAAAATCATCGATTTTGCACCACTATTTGTGATATACAAAGTCAAAAGAAACATCCTGGCTGGGCAAGTGGTGGTCCATTTGGCACTAAATATTCAATTTTAAAATCAGGTTGGATGGAGCACAATACATTTATTATCATGCCAAATAGGGGTGGAAATAAATTCTTACCAAGCATTACAAAAACTTGAAAATGTAAGAATTTAGATAAACAAAATTTTCTACCGTTGCTCAAACTGCTGTACGAGAGTGATAAATGTTTTACACGCATGCATGCAATTGTTGGTTTCCAGTTTCAATGTTTTACCACTCTCGTACAACCACGCATGCATGCACTCGCTGGTTTCCAGTACACTTGCTTGTTTCCACTTAAATGTACAACATAAATCATAAAGCATCAGCAGCCACACAAACGCTCAATCCACCATCGTCATCTTTAGCAGTTTCTTCCTCATTGACAGCGTCATCGTCTTCATCAGCCGCTGCAGCACCTGATCCGACTACACACCAATTACTATCTTTCTTAACTATGCAAGCTTCAATTTTTGATAGTTATCAAGCGTTACAAAAACAGTATCGAGATGAAGTTAAAGCAATTTTTTCCACGCAGAAACCAATCACATGTTAAGAAATTGAAGCAGTGCAACATGTAAAAACTTGGCGGAAAATGTATTACCGAAGAAAATGTGATCGAGTTCCTTAAACAAAAAGATGAAAAAAAAGCAACAAAAGAAGCCTTGAAAGTTGATAAAACTTAACGCAAAGCGTAGATTCTCTATGTATGTATGATGCCAAGTACTCAAATGTCTGAGCATAACAATGCTGAGTAACTACAGCAAAACAATAATAAAGAACAAGTACGATGTGTGATGTGTCAACAATAATAAAGAACAAGTACGATGTGTGATGTGTCAACAATAATAAAGAACAAGTACGATGTGTGATGTGTCAACAATAATAAAGAACAAGTACGATGTGTGATGTGTCGGGAGCGGAAGTGCAAAGAAACACGTTTACCAAAAAAATTTGTAGTTGGAACTGAACTTTTTTTTTGTTGCAAGAAATGTAAAAAAACTTAAAAATAGTTTCTTAAATATGTTGTGTTAAAAAAAAGTTAAAATTAATAAAAATCCAATGTTTTTTCAAGCGTGAGGTTTTTTGAGAATGTTGCCTAAAACCGCACAAGTTTTTTTTTCTTTACATTTAATATTTGTAATAATTTTTTTTTTTTTAAATATATATTTATTTTTTCTTATGTAGTTTTTTATTACCAATCTAATTAAAAAAAAAAAAAAAAAAAAATTTGAAAAAAAAAAAGTTATTTAATTTTTAAAGATTAGTATGCGGTTGGACCCGGTTTTACTCTATTGCACTAATTGGGGAATCTACGAAAAGATTTTTTTTTTTGGTGTTACCAAAAAATGTAAAAATCTTCTTTGGCTTCCTTGTTTAGGTATTAATACAAGTCTGGCTATTTTTCAAAAAAATGAATTCATTACTGTATTATAAATTTCTTATTGAAAAATCATTTTTGTTATATACTTATGTTGCAAGGTTGATTATAATTGATATATATGTTGTTCTAATTTTTACGATAAAAAGTATATATTGTATATCTAAAAAGAAGAAAACATTTAGTTAAAATTTTAGCATAAAAACTTTAATGGTTAAAAACGTTGAGAAGTTCTTGAAGAATTTTTAATTCACAATCACCTTCAGATGAGTTTTTCCCTCATATGGTTGTTTTTCAACCAGAAACTTCAAACTGCCACTTAAAGTAGCGATCTAACAATTTTCAACTTCACATCGTTTTACAAATCTTTCAAGCCCTTAAAGAGTACATTTTTTTTTTTTGGTTTACATTTGTTAATCGTTGTACAGCCCATTATAAAAATAATAATATAAACTTACAATGGCATAAAACATAACAAACATAAACAAGGTATCTGAAAGAAGATCGCAAGGATCTTGTCGTCAGAACCTTAAAAAAAACATTTAACAAATATAAGATAGAAAAAAAAAGTTAATAAACTTTTACAAAATTGCAATGCAAACAATCTGTGTCTGAAGAAAGATCAAGAGGATCTTCTCATCAGATTTTTATACAAGAGTAAACCAACATATAAATTAAAAAGTAAAAAAGTATAAGAACAATAAATAAAATAAGTAGGAATAAACTTCTATAAACATAAAACTTCTATAAACAAACAAAAAATATATATATTTTTAACTTTTACTACTAATAATAGCTCAATATATTATCTAATGAAAAAATGAGGTTTTTTAGGTTTTTTTTAAAAAGGCAAAAAGTAATAGGTACTTCAAAATTAAAATTCGCCAAAACAATTTTATTCCAAAGGTGTGGCGCTCGATAGGTAATACAAAATTGATTAAAGTTTGTTTGACAGAAAGGCTCATTTAAAATGTTATTATTTCTCAAAATATATTCACTGACAGGTTTAAAAGAGAAAAGACCTTTGAATACGGCTATACATTGCCAACACCTATGGTCTTATATACAATAATGAAATAGAAAAGACCAAAGATCTATTTAAAAAATTATTTAGAGGAGGGGATGTCAAACAGAGTCAACTTTAAAGAAAGTATTATAGCTGTCGTACTATTGTGGTTAGAGTTCTTAACTCAGAACTTGAGGTCCGTGGTTAATAACTGGCTCTGGCCATATATGCATCATTGGTAAGGAAGAAAGTGTAAACTTCCCAATTAAATGGTAAAAAATAAAAATAATTATTTATTATTTTTATTTTTTACAATTATCAAAAAAAAATATTTTTTCAAGATTTTATACATTTGTTGCGGCCTAATTGTTGGAACTTGTATGTTGGTAAACTTGGTTGTAGAGTTAAAATTTCATGTCTCCTTCTCCTTCTTTTAAAGAAAGATACCTCCTAGCTACTATTTTATTTTATTAGAAAATAAATATTTACAGTTTGATTTAAAGGTGCATTTAGCATTATGAGTAGACTTATAAATAATTTTAGCAATTTATTTATAATATAATTTGCAGCTTTTAAAAAGTAAAAGTTATAAATTACATTCTTACACAATACCTTAATATTGGAAAACGTCTAACCATTTTTTGTTTTTTTTACTAACTATGAGAAAAAAAAATTATAAAACCTTTGTTTACTCAATAAACAAGATTAAAATTTTCATATTGAACCGTTTTACATTTAGGAAACATTTTACCAATCTAGATGTGATTCTGAAACGTGAAACTGCAAAAAACTGTCAAGCCATGGAAAATACTTTTTAAATTTGTTGTTTTAAACATTTGTTGATAAAAGTTTTTTGTAATCAAATACACAACAGACACAATAATCAGTGATAAAATTTATAAAAAGGAAACAGTTGTTTATTAGTTGGAGTCCATTTAGTTTTTCATTTTTCATTTTTTTCCCTGTTAAAGCTTCGGACACTTTAGATTTAACGGATAATTAGAATCGTAAACAAGTTTTTTTCTTCATTTAAAGATTGTCTTTGTAACCATCTTGTCATTATGTCATTTTAAATATGGACAACGGAAACAAAAACAAAATCTTGCGCAATTTATGACTAAAATAGATCGCCATCCATTTTTAATTCTGGGAATGAAAATAAAATTGGGGGAATCTTTGAGACTTGGTTTATTTCTATTGTAGAATGAAAAATAGATTCTTTTAATAAATCAAAAACAGAAAAATTTGGAAATTTGGAAATCCAAATTTTATTTTAAAACTAACTTCAATAACAAGTTGCGCTTAACTTTTTTCCCCAGACACTCTAGCTTATTTTATTAGTGATGATAATATTAATAATAATGTTTTAAAAATTTTAATGTATTTTAAAAACTATAAAAACAAAAATATAAAAAAAAATGTTATAACGATAACAACAATATATATAATTTGAATCAATTTTATTAAATTATAATAAAACAGTAATATAATTATAAATAATTGATTATAACATCTAGTGCAATATTGTATGCGGTAATTCATATATTATGTTGATTAATGGAAAAGGCAGAAGAAAAACTTTATTATGGTGAATAATATATATATATATATATATATATATATATATATATATATATATATATATATATATATATATATATATATATATATATATATATATATATATATATATATATATATTACTATAGATAAGAGTTACTTTTTTTAACATATGAAGTTATTTCCTTTTATGATTAATGAAGGTATTAAATATTTTTGTTTTAATGAATCTTTTGTTGTTTTTATTGTTTTTTGGTCTAATTACAACGTGTTTAACTTACACTTGATGTACACTGTTTTGAAAGTTTGTTTAAATGTCGCATACATTTTTTAAACTATGCTACCTTATACTTAATGTGGTTGAAGTTATTTGCTTGTATAAGGAAGTTATAAGTAAATAAATAAATCGTGGTTGCAGATTAAGAGGAGCGACAAACGAATCCACTTCTTCTAAAAAAATAATCAGCTTTTTTATAAGTGCAATTTAAATGTAAACTGAAAGATGAAAACATCAAAAATTAAAATGTCTATAGTCGTTTTGCTTATAGTTTTAAGTATAACGGGTCAGGAGATACGTTCAAATGAAGTTGTAACAATAACAGGCCGACATATCAAAAAGCGCATAAAACACGCAGAAAAGTTTTCATCTTTTTTTCACAAAAATGTTGACGAACTGGTCGAAATCCTTCCACCAACTACCCATCGTGATTATACTTCTTTGAAACCAACAAATTTTCGAAAAGTCAGATTAAAGAGTAGAACAGGTTATTACTTAGAAGTACTAAATTCTGGAAAAGTGGCTGGCAATACAATAGAAACAAATTACAGTAAGTTTTGATAAAAATAATCACACAAAATACATTGTTATAAGATTTGTTTAAAATTATTGACTTGCTTATTCTGACTACTCCCTTTTCTTACTAGCTCAAACATTTTTTTCGAAATTGATTTAGAATATAAATATAATAAAATAGCGCTCAATATGTATATTTTGTGCATTTTTGAAATTTTCAAAGGTGTATTAGAAATGCAAGTAATAGCCCCGCAAATAAAAAGGATAAAAAGCGTTCTGACCGGAAAGTATATATCAATTAACTCTGATGGAAAAGTAAAAACAAAGGTAATGTTAAGTTTTATTGGATTTATAATTATACTATACAGAATGAATTAGAATAATCAAGTAAATTATTATAAAAACAAATAAATTTAGACTATTAAAAAAATTCATATCAACATAATTATGATCGTTATTAATATGTTACGTTGTTAATATGTTACATGTTATCTTCTTATTTTACTTTAGACAAATATAAGTCCTGACATTTATTTTATTGAGGAAGTCCTTCCGCATTCCTTTTATTCATACTTCTCAATCAAGTATCCAAAATCGACAAAAGAACCTCCCTGGTTATTGGGGCTAAAGCAAAAAGTTGGTAATAAATCGTACGGAGTAGCATGTCGTGCTTCTAGGACATTACCTGGAGATAATGAGACTCAATTCTCCATTATAGATTTTTAACGTTTAACGACAATGAGATTTATCTCTGCATTAAATATCTAACAATTTATTAGTATATGGACTTAGTCCACTGTAATTTATAACAAGTCATAATATTTACTTATTTATTTGAATAGAATTTACGATTTTCTCTATTTTTACGTAATAAATTTGTGTTGTGGTTATTATGGTGCACTAAGATCACATATTGGCTACTCAATTATTATAATGGCTTCTCATGTTTGATAAGATGCTGCAATAATATTTAATGCTTCTGTTGCAGAGAACCGCAGAAAAGCATCTGATGAAGAAGCTCAAAAAAAAATGAAAGTTTTGAAAAAAAAATTTAAAAACTTTTTAATATAATAGTTTTAATATAATAAATAATTACTAATAAAGTTTTGTAACTAAGCAACAAAATAATGTTTTCTTAACATATTTCTTAGAATAATAATTATTGATTGCGTTCATCATTTTCAATATTTCAATGATTAAAAACAAAATCAAAAGAAAATAAATAAATAAACTAATCGATTTTATACTTTTAGAGAAAATAAACTAAAAAGTGTTAAAGTATTTTTTATAATCAGAGAAACTTGGTTAAAAAATATAAATGTGTATGGTGTTATATATGCTTACAGTAATTACAGTAAGTACTTACAGTAAAATGTGTAGGGTGTTATATTCTTACATTATCTTCAATAAGTGTTTACAGTCAAATGTTTAGGTTGTATATGCTTACAGTAACAACAGTAAGTACTTACAGTAAAATGTGTTGGTGTTGTATGCTTTACAGTAACTTTGACATTCTAAAAAAAAAGTTAGAAGTTTCTACCTTAGGGTAGGATACGTGAAACCCCTTATTATTTAAAGGAGGTTGAAAATACTATACCTTACTATGGGTATATTGCATATCCCATGATAGAAGTTTCGGTCTTTTTTGTTTAGTGCGTAGCACTTACGATTTTTTATTTATTATTTATTACTACTTAGTTTCTATGATTATAAAATAATTCTTTTCCGTTTTTTAGTTCTTTTTTAAACAAAAAAAGCCATTAATTTTAAATAGTTTTTACGTGTAAATTTTCTTTTCTTTTTTTTTAGTTTTACCGAACGGGAAAAAAAGAGTAAAAAGCAATTAAAAATGCAAAAAATATCAAAATTACACTCGTAGAAATGGGGGAAACAATATTAGGGGGCTTATTTGGAAATTTAAGGACCCTTTCGCAAATTTAAAAAGCTTTTTTTTTTAGTAATACCTAGTGGAAAAATTTATAATTTTGGGGCTCTGATCGAAGGTTTTAGGGAGGGGCCTCTAACCCACTGTACATACATACATACATACATACATACATACATACATACATACATACATACATACATACATACATACATACATACATACATACATACATACATACATACATACATATAAACATGCATACACACATACATGCATACATACATACATACATGCAGACAAATATACATAGAGACATACATCTTCTTCTATGAGCAAAAAATAAAGTTGCCTCAAGATTTTTGTTCCCTCAATATAAAAATTAAACTAAAGTTAATATTTTCAGTAAGCATAAAATACAATCAATAAATACTTTTTAATGTTTATTAATTAAAAAGAATGTCTTTTCTTTAAAAGTGTTGTAAAAGTTGTTTTATTCAATAATTTATTGGAGATTATTGATATTAAAAAACTGCTTCAATCTATGCTATCAACTTAAATCTAACAACTAAAATTATTCTGAATTTATTAAACTCGTTTAAATCTATGCTAACAACTTAAATCTAACAACTAAAATTATTCTGAATTTATTAAACTCGTTTAAATTGGAACATTTTTGTAAATTTTTAAATAAAATGTCAAAAATATATATTTTTATACAATTTAAAGTTATTATAAAAAACAAGTTAAACTTGTAGCGATGACTGGTTTCTACTATAAACGGAATGTAACGGCGATTTCTTTAATAGGTGTTTACGCAAGTATGTTTCAGAAAGGAATTTGTCATGTGGATTAAGGAAAGTTTATCAACATAAAAGTTTATCTATATCAACATAAAAGTTTATCTATATCAACATAAAAGTTTCAAGTTTTAGTTTTTTTTTTAAGTTGATTAGAAAAATAAAAGTTTTACAGCAATCAGTTGTGTTTACAATTTTTTATCTAGTCCTAATTCTTTAAAGTGGTTCTTTAGCAAAGACATTGATTGAGTGGCATCTTAAATATATTGACAAGTGGTAATATAAACTTAATAGAATGCACATTTTTGTGGTTTTCGGCGTTCATTATCAATATTTTGCGTCATTTTTTAAAAATTTCTCAAAGTTATGTGAAAGTAATATTTGCGTCATTGTTTTTTATGTTTTAGCTTACATACATAGATGAAGAAACAATAAAAAATGTGGAATTTCCTGAAAATGTGTTTTTGATGAAGAACTGTATGAGAAACTTTATTATAATTAACTTAGAGTAATTGGTACCTGTTTTAAAAATGTAAAATTATCTGTTTTCTTTCCATCGTTTTTGTGCAAAAAAGCAGATGTTCCGAAAATCTTGAAAGTCTTTATATTCATGAATACTTTTACGGGATATTTGACTGGCGTGCAAAGACATATAACTTAGATTATAGCCTTTACTTAACATGGAATAACCTATGTTTAGAGGATATTCCCTCCTCACAGTGGTCCAAAATATACCAAATTTAGCAAAAATAAAAAACATCAAAACATAATCATATTATACATATATTTATATAATTTTGGGGTCAGAGAATCCATTTCTGACATCAAAGCTATAAGGTAGCGCTAACTTTTTGGTGTTTCAGAAACACCATTTTTAGATATTGTGCAAACTTCAAACTAAAATTGAAGGGCAATGAGTAATAAAATTTAGAATTTTGGGGGGACTTTTTTCCTTCAAGACTCCAATCACGACAACCTTTTTGAAAAACATACTGACTTTATATAAACATGTGCATTCTTATATGTGCACAACACCTGATAGAGTCAAATATGAAAAACAGAAAAGTCCTATTGGCACCACTGTGCAGTGGGCCAAAATATGCCAAAATTTGGCAAAAATAGAAAACATCTAAAAACAGTCATATTATACATCTAGTCAATGATTTTTGGCGTAAAGAAATCCATTTGCAGCAACCGGGGATGCAAATGGATGCAGTAGTTTAAGATTATTTCTTTTCACCACGAAACTACAAACTTTTAAATCTTGTCACAAAAATGTTGTCTTTTTTCGGATGAAAAATCAAAAAATTGTGTTTTAAAAATGTAAAAAAATTTTCTGAAGAAGTGAAAACCAAAAAAGTTTTTTTCAATCAACAATGAAATTATTAATATATGAAAAAACATTTTAAAGTTTCACAAGTATAGATTAATGAAGGCCACTGGTGTATCGACAATGTTTTTAGATAACTCACATTTTTTACATTTTAGCTACTATTTGAGCTAGAAGTACCCTAAGAGTGTATAACAAATTATATTAAAAAACTATTGTTATTTGCTTTGATACCTATAATTATGCTGTATTTGCTGAAAGTTACCTAATTTCATTTTTAGTATTTGCAGATAATGTATTTCCACCGCATGCAAAATTCTTTTTTTTGGAGATCAACTAAAACTCGTAATCACTTTTTAGAATGGTACATAGTTTTTTAACTATTATGAATCGTGCAATTGCCTAGTTAATGAAACGGCTTTACGCAGATGGTGCACAATCTACCTGTTTCGCATGTGAAACAAAAATGATCGTTTATTTTATAGTTTATAAAACAATAAAAATATAAAAGTATATAAAATTTATCTCATTGAATTAATTTAAAGATTTAAAATCTATAATTTAACTTAATACATTTTTTTTCATAATATATTTCTACTTTATTTGTGAATTTTTTTTTAATTCTATTTTAATTTGATGCAACAATTTGCTTTTCTTTTAATTTTTTTTGAAATTGTTTTTTGAAAAAATATTTCACACAGGTAAACTATATATAAATTTTTTATCGTAAAAAGTATATTGTTTTAAAGACATCTTGAATGTTTATATTAAATTATTTTTCAATTACTTTTTTTATGGAGAGATTCAAAACAACTATATTATATATTTATTAGCAATATTTTGAGACCACTAGACGTCATCATCTTACTATGACTAAAAAACTAAATATTTTTACAAAAATGTTTAAAAACTTGTGAAAAGAAAACATTGTGTTGGCGTCAATTTTTGATCTGAATAAATCGCATCGTTGGTTTCCAAAAACCTGTGTTTAAATATTGACCGTCATCCACATTCATTTCCATTGGTTCTCGTGGTTTGTTGGTATTGTATTTACGAAGCTTCTTCATTTTTCTTTTAAATTTATTAGAATTTAATGCTAAAATTTTTGGTATCAGTCCAGTAAATATTTCCCTGAGAAATATTTGTTGTGGTTTTATACTCCAGGAATATTCCACGTCATGAATTGGCTTTTGGCGGTGTAAAAAATGACTGAACATATTCAAATCAGTTTCACCTACATAAGATTTACTGCAACTGCAGGTTAGTTTATAAACACCTGGTTTATTCAAGCATGGCAACATGGGTTTATTTTTACTAGTTAATATTGTTTCTAGTTTAAAATTACATTTAAAAACAGCTCTATAACCAAAATTTTGATATATTTTTTGAAAAGCTTTGTGGTTATCCTAGGTATCTAGTGTGGTTATGCTAGGTATCTAGTGTGGTTATCCTAGGTATCTAGTGTGGTTATCCTAGGTATCTAGTGTGGTTATCCTAGGTATCTAGTGTGGTTATCCTTGGTATCTAGTGTGGTTATCCTAGGTATCTAGTGTAGGTATCTACGGTATCAAAACATTTTTAGATCACTAAAAGAGGTTGTTTTTTTTGTGTCAGATAAACGTTTTGATGTTTTTGTTTTAAATTTTTGAACTACTTGTTTTAACCTAAATTTTTAGTTATCATTTTTAGCAAACACTTCTATTAGAAAACCATTTTTTTGTTATAATTATTCTTACTGCTAATATTATGGGCCATATGATCAGTATATATCAGTAAAATATAATATAATATAATAAATATAAAATATAATATAAACCTCTACATCAGTATATATAAAGTATATTATAAATTATCAAAAATATATAATGCTTTTAATAAGTACGCCAGTGGTGGATTTTTATGGTTGATGCCTTACAAAAGAAGGGTAGAGGGGAACTAATTAAGCATAAGAAATCTCATGTGCGTCAGATTTACGTTATTTTTACACTATTAGAGGATATTTCACTTGCTAAAAATTGTTAAGAAAAGAGTTTTTTTATTTGCTTGAGAATATATTCTCTATAGTTTACCGAGCTGTTCAACCTGCCCCAACAGGGTAAATTGACTAACTGCGTGGGGCAATAGGAGCAATCAACAAATAAATAAATGTGCGTAATATATAACTTGAATAAATCATCAATAATCTTTAACAGTAAGCGTGTCTGAAATTTATAAAAAAAATTTTAATACACTTTAATGACGTAAATAAAAAAATGAAATAGTAAGAAATTGTCGTAAAATACAAGAATACATTTTTATTCAACTATTTTGAACCTCAATAACCTCATAAACTAAGTTCAATACTGTGGACCTTATGTTTGGAAAATTTTCTTCGCATTTTTTAAGATAAACTAGAATTCATCTTGAACTGCACAATGGAAAGTTTTAAGGCTGATTCAAAACGGCAGTTACTAAATATGTACTACAATTCTGTATATATATGTAATACAAATCTGTACTACATTTCCTTAACTTTTTTACTACACTTCTTTAACTTTTTAATTTTGTTTCTGTTGTGCTTTTGTTGATATTAAATAATTAGTAATAAATATTTAGTAATATTTCATTATTAATAATAATACACAACGCAATTTTTGTGTATTGATAACTTCTTGGTTATCTATCTTTTGTTTAATTTTATTACTTTAATTATTCCGATAAAATATTGTTGTTAAAAATTTATATTTTTCATTTTGAAAGTTTTTTTGAAAATTTTTTTGTCTATAAACTATTATATATGTAAATATTTGAAACGTTTACAAAACACCAATGTAACGGGGGCTCGGCGATAAGACAATTTGTCTTCTTCTTGCTCCTGCCAGGTTTTTTTATTCAATTGTAATTTCTTTTTGTTATTTTAACTAACGGCAAATATATATATATATATATATATATATATATATATATATATATATATATATATATATATATATATATATATATATATATATATATATATATATATATATATATATATATATATATATATATATATATATATATATATATATATATATATATATATATATATGAAAAAAAAACAAAAAAAACAACCTAAAAGCCCTATTTAGAAATTATTAACTTTAAACTATATATTTATAATATAATGATAAATTATTTCTCATCAAAGTTATTTTTTTGTGTTCGATAGTTCAGTATAATTTTTTTTTTCAAAGCTGCTTAACTTAACGCTACTAGACAAGATTTATTAGTTAGGTTTTAAAGTGAACAGTAACACTTATGAAAAAACGGCTATTTATAATTATAAGTTTTAAAGAGAACAGTAACACTAATGTTAGGATTAGAGAACAGTAACACTAATGTTAGGATTAGCCCAATCAGCAGTATATTAATGGGCCAGAGCTGGCGAGCCCATTAATATACTGCTGATTTGGGCAAAACACATATGAACCAGTTAAGGGCCTTAGCTGGCGGCTAGCCATTGCCGGACCATAAGCGTATCATTAATGGCTCGCCAAAGGTACGCAAAATGATTTTAATGTAAATGTAATTTTTACGGAGAGGAAAATATATCTTTCTTTGAATTTTTCATTCAAGTATATAATTTTCATTATATCATATCCTGTATATTTAGTAATATTGGTTTTAGTTATAAGCTATTGGACTGAAAGGAAAAAAATTCGAGAAGTTAAAATTATTTTATTTTAACTTTTATTTATTTATTTGTCCGAAATCAATTGAGGGGAAATGGTTATTGATGGATCCTATAACTATGATTACATAGCTAAAACTGGGTTTTATTTTCCTAAGCCTATTTACGCTTTGCCCAAAACAGTCGTTCAAAGCAATTGCAAAAAACATGGGTTGAACACTTCAGATAATGAACCTTCCAACACCACTGCTCTGGATAATGACCTCAATATTTCTTATTAAATTGATAATAAAATTAGTTAATTTGAAGCTTTATCTGATAACGATTCATATAAAAATGATAAGAATATTGTAATAAATAAACTAGAGGGTGATTTCTCAGCATAATATCACACAAGAGTTCACTCATTTAATTTGCTGATCTATGACCAGAGCTGCTTAAATGTTAATGCATCCTAAAATTTTTTTTAAATTTGTGTTTTTTTATGTATTTAAATAAAATTCATTATATATATATGTATTTTTTATGCTATAGTTTATATGATCTCATCATCATAGTCATCATCCCCCACCTTTATTTTCCCTTATTCTATATATTTATTCAACCTTAATTATAT